GGAAAGGTGGTACTCTCTTTTACTACCATGAGCAATAAACTCACTAAGTTATTTTTGGTAGTATTTTCCAGGAGCTAATATTCCATACTACTAGTTCCCCAAATGTGTTAAAATTCAATTCAGCAATACTAATTTTATCACAAGTAGGATAAGGAAAATATCGATACCTTTATAAAAGGTTATAAGAAATAAGAAATCATCACCCCACATTAGGCAGCACCTGCTGACACTACTGGTTTCAGTTTCTTCAGGAGTTAAAACAGCTAACTGGCCCACTAATTAAAATTCTAAATAATACCAAGCAAAGAGCTTACTAATATCAGAGGGGTCATTAAACCAGTAAAGAGTTCTAAAGAAGATAGGAGATAAATTACAGACAGGTTTACAATCTAAGCGGGAAACCTGGAGAAGGAAAAAAAATGAATATATAAATAACCTACAACACTAATAATCAATAGAAGAAAAAATACTGCTAAATATATTCTAATTGAATAGTGAAAAAAAAATTAAAGGAGTTTTCATTACTGTGAAATTATTTTTAAACCATAATTTGGAATTAAGACACAATGAAATGCTGAATACATTTTCCAGAAAGTTGAGATTTCTTATCCATCACGAATAAATACATAAACATTTCTTTTCCCACAAATCATTTAAAGCACCCATAAAGCCACAGGCCTGCTTATACCAGAGGAATTTGAAAGAAAAGGTTAAACATTTAAAATGCCTCAATGATTGGGAAGGAGGATTCAAATTTTTAAGATTTAACTGTAAAAAAGGAAACCACAAGTACTGGAAGAAAATATAAAAGAATTCCTTTATAACCTTGGAGTGAAGACTTTTCTAACTATATTTCAAAATACAGAAATGTAAAAGAATATATTATACCACCATATAAAAAGGAATATTTATGCATAAAAAATAATCTAAATATATATTATAATATATATGACATAAATATTATAATATATACATATTACAAAGGGCCTATGAAGAACTTCTGAAACCAAGAAGAAAATGACCAACAATCTAATAGAAAAATAAACAAAGAACATGAGAGTTCACAGAAGGTGGGGAATAAAAGTACAAATGCCCATTAAATATATGAAAAAATACTTAACGTCATTCATAATGAGAGAAATAACAATAGTCTGAGTTATACCAGTTCTCATCTATCAAAGTGGAAGAATTCCAAAAGTCTGACAACACATTCAGCTGGTCAGGCTATAGGAAAACAAGCTTCTCACATTCAGGTTGCAGTACAAAACAGCAATTTGGCTATATCTACAGACTTACAGAAGCATCTATCTTTTTTAAATAAATGTTTTATTTTATAATAGTTTTAGATTTACAGAAAAATTGCAAAGAGAGTACAGAGTTACCCTATACCACACTCCTAGTTTCTGCTATTAAGTATGGTGTATTAGTATGGTATGTTTGTCACAATCAATGAACCAAAACTGATTATAATAAACTAAAGTCCATTCTTTAGATTACTTTAGTTTTTACCTAATGCTCTTTTTCTCTTCCAGAATCCCATCCAGTATACCACGTTATAGTATAATTGTGTCTTCTTAGTCTCGTCTTAACTATCAGTTTCTCAGACTTCCTGTTTCAGATGACCTTGATGCTTTGGTACTGTTTACGATTTTGTAGAATATCCCTCAATTGGGATTTGTCTAATGTTCTTCTCATTATTAGACTAGAGTTATGGTTTTTTGGGAAGAAGATTGTACAGGTGACATGACATTCTTATCACTTCATACTATCAACATGATTTATAACTATTAAAGTTAACTCTCAGACTGCTCAGGCTGCTATAACGAAATACCTTAGACTGGATAGCTTATGAACAACAGAAATTTATTCCTGGCAGTTCCAAAGGCTGGGAAGTCTAAGATCAAGGCCCCTGCAGATTCCATGTCTGGTGAGAGCCCACTTCCTAATTCGAAGACTGCTTTCTTTTTTCACTGAGTCCTCACATGGCAGAAGGGAGGAGAGAGCTCTCTGGGGTCTCTTATAAGGACACCAATCCCATTCATGAGGGCTCACCCTCATGTAGAAGCACCTCCCAAAGGTTCCACCTCTAAATACTATCAGACTGGGGATTAGGTTTCAAATTTTGGGGGGAAATAAACATTTGTTCTATAGGGTCAATACTACATATTTATGTTTATAGTATTTTGAGTATATTTACAGTCTTTCTAATGTATATAAAAAGCCCTATTTTTCCTCTCCTTAAATGGAGAGTTATGTCACACCTCCTTGAAAGCTGCATATCTACATAAATTATTTGGAATTATTCCGCACAGAAGATTTGTCTATTCTCCCCGTTTATTTATATCAGTATGGATTCATGGATATTATATTCAAATTATAATCCAACACTATTTTATTTTGTTGCTCAAATTATTCTAGTATGAGCCATTGGAAGCTCTTTCAGTTGTCTCCTCTGTCCCTTTTATATACCTTAGTCTGTTTTTTGAGTACTTCCTTACTTTACAGCATTATAAGATGCTCCAGGTTCACCTTATACATTACTTCCTGTCCCAGTCCTGGACTCAGCCATTTCTTCAAGAAGCCCCAGTTCCTTTTATGGGATAATGGTATTAGAAACTAAGATCTGGGCACTAGGTGTGCTCACTGCTACTTGGAGTGTCATTTCTTCAAGGCCCTCTCAGCTGTCAAAGCAAGGAAATATGTGTGTAAAGAAACATTTACAGATTGACCTAAAGACCTTTATTCTTAGAATATAAATCACCCACTTCATGCAAGTACAAAATGTTATATGCATGTTACTCATTTGACAATGTTTAATAGCAAAAGGTAGGAAATAACCCAAGTGCCCACACAGGACTGAGTGACTAAACTATCTTGTATCCATGGAAGTGCTTTTCAGCTATTAAAAATAAAGGAAGATATTTATCTAGATTTGGAAAAATCTCCAAAATAAAATATACATTTATTTGTTTATATCTGCAAAGAAAACACTGAAAGAATACAGAGAAGAAATGTCTGCCTATAAAAGGTACGGGAAGAAAAACAGGAAGGAGAGAGCAAAGGAGAAAATGAGACTTTTCTGTGCATCTCTCTCCACGTACTTCTGAGTTTTTAATCATATTACCTACTCAAAAATTAAATTAAATTTTTATTTTTTTAAATTTTCTTTCCCCTCTTTAGTTCCCGCCCCTCTCCTCTCCTGACCTACAGATGTTGCCGTCTCCCCTGAAGAACTGGATCTCTGAAGGCGGGGCATCTCCTCCCATGTGCTCATGGCGCCCCCATGGCCTGGCACATCCCCTTAAGTTTAATTTTTAAAAAGAATTTAAAATGCCTACAAAAGTGGAAAGATTTGAAAGGTTCAAATTAAGAAAGGGGGGAGATAATCATTCTGAAGAGTAAATATTATGAGACAAGATAACACTAACTTAATAATTTTATGCATCAAAAATTCTTTGCAATCTTTAGTAAAACGAAAGTACTTTAAGTCAAACTTAGTTAACTTTAAAGTAGTAAAATGCACTATAGAGTCTACGGCCATGCCACCCTGAACAAGCCAGATCCCATCTGATCTCGGAAGCTAGGCAGGGTCGGGCCTGGTTAGTACTTGGATGGGAGAGCACCTAGGAATCCCAGGTGCTGTAGACGTAAAAAATAAAAAATAAAAAGTAAGGGATTGTAAGCTGATAAGGTCCTTGCAATCTATGAGGTTAACCAAGGGTTGCCTCACTTAAAAAAATATTAAAAAAAAAGAGCTAGAAAAAAAATAAAATGTGCTATAGCTGCTAAAATTAGCCTATTTCTAAACCTGTATAATAACTGAATTACTATTAAATTGATAGTGTTGTATGACCACCTGCATTATTTGCAGAGGCACAATATTTCTATTCTTGATTGGTATGATAACATTCACAGTTAAATAAAAAGATCTATTATTTCTATTTGCTATAATTTTACTAGTTTTAACTCTTATTTCCTCCAACAAAATGGTAAAAGTAATTTCTAATATATGAAAACATGCCTTGTTGGAAGATAATGGCAGAAGGTTTGCAACATTTCCAAGTGCTACTAAGAGACAGTAAAATAAGTTTCATGTCTCTGAGGTGAATCAAACCATTTTTTTTAGCATTCCCAATGTAGGAAAGCAATCCTTTGAGGCCACTTCTGAAACAATCAACATATTACAAAAGGCTGCCCATTCGACACTAAATAACACATTTGTAGCTGTTCATAAAACTCTTCCAATGGCTTCACTGTATAAAAGATATTACGCCTTAAAAATGTTCAAAAACTCAATTTCATAGGTGAATAAGATCCAAACTCCTTACTGGTATACCTTTCATTTTGATCTCATTTCCTACCACTACCACCACAAGCAACCTCTATTACTCTATTTCTACTACAGAGAAATATTTAATAGGGTGGTGGAGAATAAAAATCATTTTAAAGAATATAAATCTTTTTTCATACATCCTTTCTACATATTTCTCTCCTATCCTCGGAAGTGTTTCTCTTCTTCATTCCTCTTGTTTTAAAGCTAATTATCTTTAGCATCACCTCCTCTGAGAAATCTACCTGACTAAATGTCACTCCTTCCTTCTCTTCAGGACAACTATTAAGTCCACTTTTGGTGATGAATGAATACAAAAATGGATAAAACCTATCATAAGTTCCCTAATTTTTACTGAGATGCTCTTTACATGGTACAACCCGAACAACGAGTAAATATAAGTTTACCCTGATTCCTGATTGAACTCTTAGAGATGTGCTGACATATCTAAAGTTGAACTTTTACAGTAAAGAGACCAGTTTTGAAGAAAAAAAAAAAGACATCTATTTCTACCTTCCTGTATGCTTGTCATTTGCAAAAGAATAAAAACATATACTATCAAAATTATGGAGAGAAAAAAATTGAGTGTCTTGCCATACTAGATACTAAGGTATATTATAAAGTAGTGATAATTAAAATAAGCTAGAGCTAATATAATAAATGGATCACCAAAACAAATTCTCTCTTCATGAATTTGTGTGTTATCCATGTACAGAGGTCATGCTAATCTTTGTATTACAATCTTTTTGTATATGTGCTGCCAAAGCAAGCACAGATTATCTCAAATTAATATATATAGCCTATATATATCAATTTGACATCAAATGAAAACATCATGAAATAATAAAAACAAGAAGTTGTCAAGTTCAAAGAATGATAACAGTCTCCTCAGCAATTTGAGGGAAAAATACAGAGAAAGAAAAAAAAAAATCCCAGCAAAGAAATTCAAATACAAGCAACGACATCTTTTGACAAATTATCAAAAGCAAATGCCTTAAATACTAGTATCACTAAAAACAGATGTGGCACATTACTAGTGGCACTGGTACAAAAGACTTTACCAGAAAAGGTTCATAGGCTTTGATCTGGGAATTCCACTTCTGTATATCTACTCTAAAGAAATGTAAAATGATGGTAGGAAGCATGGTATGTCAGATGCTAGAGTTTGTCGCAGCAAAATTTAAAGTAGCGTAAAATGAAAAGTAATAAATAATTATCAACCGCTATGAAATGGTTAACTTTTTTTGATAGTCTGATGCAACCAATGAAAATGATAACCATAAGAATTATTTGGTACCATAAAAATAAAAACTTTTTACATTATAAAAAATATTAAATTCTATATATGAAAAAAAGACAAAAGGAATATTTAAAGATAATAACCATTGCTAGGGAATTTAGATTATGGTCTGTTTTCTACATTATCATATTCTTATATTTTAAAATAATTTTTAAAAACATAATAATTGAGACTATACAGATAGAAAACAGTAAGATACTGGTAATAAACTATTAAAGTAATTAAATGAGAAGGCCATTAAAGTGAAGTTGTTCTAACTTGGTAACCTTCATAAGCAAACCAAAACCCTAAGCCAATGCACTTGAATCTGAGAAAATAAAACTTAAGAACAACCAATCACAAACAGCCAATTAAATTTTCCCAAATAAGGCAACTGCTTAAGCTATAGCCAATCAAATAATTTCCTTGCTTTGCTTCCACATCTTCTCTATAAACACCCCCCACCCCCACCCTGGCTCCTATTGGTGAACCACTCTTAACAATCTTTGGTTTGGCAATGACTGACTGAAATTGATGTATGCTCAAATAAACTTGAAATTTCTAATGTGCTTCAGTTTATCTTTCAACAAAACAAACTAAAAAAGCAAGACCAAAGCATTCACTAAAGGGATAAAAAATAAATAATTGGAACAGAAGACTTTTATATATAAACTTAAGAAAACTCCCCAAAACATAACAAAACAAAAAATTCAAAATTGAATAAAATAGGAGACAAAATAAGATGGAATGATGGAAAGTTTTCATTATTTACTTTTACTTTAAATTTAATTTATATGAGTGGTTCCTCCCCTTAACAGTATGCTTAGAACTACTGGTATACCTTTCATTTTGATCTCCATGGAGTAGTTCTAAAACCCAAGAATTGCCTAATTAAAATCTCAGAGATTCCAGTTCAGTTGTTCTGGGATAGAGCTTGAGATTTTAGATACACACACATACACACACACTCACACACATCTACCTTTTTTTTTTTTTTAATCACCAAGAGTACTTCTGAAGTTCAGGTTAAGGCCACTGACTAGAAGAATATAAGATAAAAAACAAAAATATAAGATAATGAGTAGTAAGCATTCAAGCAAATTTTATGACAAAAGATGAAATGAGAAACCAGTCTCTTCTTTTAATGAATATTATATGGACTATTATTCTGACTTCAGAAAACCTGAGTCATATACAAAAGTATTAAACAAGGAAAGCAAATACAGTCTCAACCGTTAAGATGTCAAACAAGTGGTACAACACAGATCTTAAGAAGGAGAACAGACAGGACAAACACAAGAAAAATTTGGTTGGCCCTATGTTGAAAAGCATATCAATGTGCTCATTAGGAAGATTATGATAGCTTTGTTTCTAATTGGTTATTAGAAGAAACAATGAATATCCAACATCATTTAGTCCACTAGTCTATACTATCCCTCTCCCTCCTTTATACCTAAAAGATGAAACATACAACCATCCATTAATAACACTAACTCACTAAAACGTTGACACTCAGATTCCATGAGAATGGGAAGCATATTAGAAAATCTAGGAAGTATGTATAGTTTTAAAGGCCAGAGAGATGATTTTAATTCAATTGTCCTTGTGAATCACTTATTTAGACATTCATCAACCTGAAGGAATCAATCAGCTTAACAATTTTAGTACCATTACCAACAGTTCTTCCCTTTACATTAAAGAGTACAAACAAAAATAATTGCTTACTCTGAGTGCTAAGTTCAAGGTACTCAGCAAAGTGCTTTATACATATCATTTCATTTAATTCCCACTTCATCTATTCTAGCATTTCAAAATTTTATAGAAGAAACTGACTCTGAAGAGTTTAATTAGCTCAAGAGCACATGGTTCTCATTTGTTACGGAAGCGGTCTTTATGGGGGGAAAATAAAAGTAACCAATCCTAAACTTTATACAATAGAAATGAGAGTTGCATATTTTTTTGAAATCAATTGTACCTAAAAAGAAAAAAAAAAAATGTCAACCATTTCTTCTTGGGGAAAAAAGGGATCAGGAGAAAATAGAAATGTAAATAATATTTGGAGAAGGTGGAAGGGCAAAAATCCATGCTCACGAATAAAAATTACTGCAATATGCAATGCTGACTCCACTGTTCCTGAAGTGGTAAAATGTGGGTAAATAAAATATAATCTTGAAAATTTAACTAATGTAAATTTTTTTGTTTTAATACCATATATAATAAGTCGAGAAATATGAAAAAAGCACCAAATTTCACAAATTATAAAAATTCATTTTTAAATGTCACATCTCAAATAAGATGTTATCAAGGCATATCTGATTTCTAAAATAAACCTAGTTCTTGTGATACACATACTATAACAGAGGTATAATTTAAAACTCAATTAAGAAACCTCAATAAAATGTCTTTAATTTTAAAAGGAAGCCATATAAAACAGTTTTTATTTAATTTCAGTAATCCCAATGAAAACAAAGCTCCTGGTCAACTGTATACATAAACTATCAAGGTAAGAGGAATGCGCTGTTTCATCCATTTGAGTGTAATTCTGTACTTCAGTAAATGCATTTAAGCCTAGTACAATAGAGCTAAAGAGATGGATTTCATTAAGGATAAAATTTTATCACTTAAACCAAATTTGACTCTTGATATTGACTAATGTTTTGAGATCTCTGAAAGTAGTGTTTTATTTACATATAGATTTGTAATTTTATATTTCCAATTTATCTAAACTATAAAGTTATTATAATTCACATGTAATTAAAATGGAGCAATAATGCCAAGTTAATCACCCCTCCAAGTTGGCCTACAAACTGCTTCCAGATTACTCTCACACAAATACTGCCTATAAATAGCTCCAATACTCAAAACTTTTGATGGTTCGTTATTATCTATTGTATTAAAATTAACTCTTAGCTTTTTCTAGGTCATGACTAATCTGATCCTAATTTACTAATCCAGTGTTGTTTCTCGTAATCTCATCAATTCGTACACTCAATTAAACAATAAAAAAATTGAGAGGAATACCAAAATTTATAAAGTATGGTCCCTCTGAAGCACAAAGCCAGCCAAGATGGAAGAGATTTGTAAATAATTATAATGCAATGTATTCAGTACTATAGTAGATATAAATACGATAGCAGAATCACCGTAACTCTGCCAGAATGGATCAAAGAAGACTTCAGAGGAAGTGACATTTCCTCAAAAATGAGAATTTCTCTCCAAGTGTCACAGCACTCTAACATCAACACAACAGTTTCCTCATCTTTGTATACTAGCACTGACCGTAGTGCAGAACAGGCAGGGTACTTCAGACATGGATGAATGGATGGATATCCGGAAGGAATGAAAGGAGAGAAGGAAGGTGGGAGGGAGACAGGGTTGACAGAGGGATAAAAAGACAGACACATATATAAAGAAAGGATGAATAATTTTTAGATTAAAATCGGGGCAAAATTGGTAGTAGTAATTAGAATAATTAGACGGAATGCCTCAGATGAGGCATTCCAAAACTCTAATATATGAAAATAACAACAGGAAAAGATAAACCTAAAAGACATTTAGAAAATAAAATTAACAAGATTTGGTGTAACTGACTGGACTAAGGGGAGGGGGAATACAGTAGAAAAACATAAGAAACTGCAAAATGTTTCAGCGTAAGTGACTAGGCTGGTGGTGGTTCATTCCCTGTGACTGGAAATGGAGCTAGGAACAATGAAAGAGTTCAGCTCAGGTACAGAAGCGCTAAGAAGCAACATCTGGGAAGTAGCTAGAGAGGAACTCAGAAAAAGGTCTGGATTAGAAATAAAGATGAGATCATTAGCATTTAGGTGATAGGAACAAAGCACAAAATATGAATGAGACTGTCCAAGGAACATGTAAGACATAAGAAGAGAGCCCAGCACAGAATATTACAGACAACCAATATTGCTATTATTTCCCTGTTATAATACCTCATTAGATTATATTTTTATAATATGTATGATGGCTAACACAATGCCGAGGACACAACGAATGCTTTAAAAGTACTTACTTACATCCCTGAATTAACTGGAAAATCAAATTCATTAAGTAAAATAAAGCCGTAAAGGATCATTTCTTAAAAATAATTCAATAAAGGGCTAATCTCTGCTTAAGAAATCCAAAATTTACTTCAAAAGCCAATGAAAAGCTCTCTTCCCACCAGAAAAAGCAGTACAACTTAGAAAGTAAAATATTAAAATATGTAATTGTGTTATACTTCAAAAAAGTCTATTTTAAAATATATATATTAACTAATTTAAAGAATAATGCTTCTAAATTTGGAGTGTTAAAAAGAGCCTCAATGTTGTTACCTAATAATTTTCCACAAATATTATCAATTTTACCAGTTTATGTTATTTAACATTTACATTAATAACAAATATTAACCATCAGTAAGAATAGCAGTATTACATATATCATTTAAAAACAGAATGAGTTAACCTAGAATATAGTGAAAGAAAAATTATTCTTGGGTTC